TTATGGCTTGCCTTATAGTTTCTCCCGAGGTGGGATTAGAATAATGCCCAAACCCGCTCCTTTAACATTCGAGGAGCCATCGGTAAATAGGGTCCAAGTACCCGGATTAGACCCGTTAAATACCTGCAGTTCTTTTTCTCCTTTTGTTACCATCCCTGGGCTAAAGTCTGTCACAAAATCTGCTAAGACCTGTGATTATATCGCAATTCTAGGTTGAATCTGTCACGATCCAAAATCCACTAGTCTTGATGGCACCTAACCCAACCCGCTAGGTAAGCCAACTAATAACTATCCAATTCCATTAAAGTCAACCAAACAATTAAATATAGAAGTTAACTGAATTTTATATTCACTTAGTTCTACGGCCCATTTGGCTACTCTACCTGATAACTCTTGCTTATACACTATATTTCGTAAGGGGTAGGCGGTCACTACAGAAATAGGATGACATTAAAAATAAGGCCTTAACTTTCTAGATGTCATAATTAGTGCTAAAGCAAGATTTTCTAAATGAGGATATCGAGTTTCAATAGGACTTGCTAACATAATAAATTGGAGATTGTTTACCTTTATCTTCTCGAACTAACACTGCACTTACCTCCATTTCTGACATAGCGAGATAGATGAGTAACCTTTCACCGTCCTTTGGTTTAGCTAGCAACGGCGAGTTTGACAAGTATGTTTTCAAATTTTTGAGCGCTTGTTGGCATTCTTTTGTCCATTCAAATTGATTTTGCTTTTTCAACACTGAGAAGAACTTAAAGCTTTTATCTGAAGATTTAGAAATAAATCTTTCCAATGATGTCATCCTACCTGTCAACCTCTACACTTTTTTAATGCTCGTGAGTATATCCGATATTTCTTAAATGGTTTAATCTGCACTAGATTTACTTCAATTCTTCGGTTAGAAACTAGGAAACCTAAAAACTTACCTGAAGACACGCCAAATGCACACTTTTCGGGATTTAACTTCATATTGAATTTGCAGATAATTTGAAAAGTATCTGACAAATGTTGAATGTGATCCCCCGCCTGTGCTGACTTGACTAACATGTCATCAATGTAGACTTCCATGATTTTTCCCAGATGTTCTTGAAACATCTTTGTTACTAACTTCTGGTACGTGGCCCCAACATTCTTTAGATCGAAGGGCATGACTTTATAACAGTAAGTCCCCCTGTCTGTAATGGAATAAGTTTTTTCCTCATTTGAAGGATCCATTTTTATCTGGATATATCCTGAATAAGCATCTAAAAAACTCAACAATTCGTGCCCTGCAGTAACATCAATTAGTTGATCTATGTATGGTAAAGGAAAAGAATCTTTCGGGCAAGCTTTATTTAAGTCAGTATAATCTATACAAACTTGCCACTTACCACTCTTTTTGATACCACTACACTATCAGCCAGCCAATTAAGATATTTTACCTCACGGATAGACCCGATTTTTAAAAGTTTTTGTACCTCATCCCGAATCACCTGGTCTTTGAAGGATCCTTGCTTCCTTTTCGTTTGTTTGACAGGTGGATACGTTGGATCTTCATTCAGCTTACAGGTCATCACCTCCGGTGGTATAACTGTCATATCTGAATGTGAACAAGCAAAGAAATCTGCGTTAGCTTTTAAAAATTCAATTAACTTACTTTTCATCTCTGGGCTCAGGTTGGTTCCGATGTAAACTTTTCTATCTGGCCAATGTATAAACAGCACCACCGCTTCGAGTTTCTCAATTGCTGTTTTGATGTTTTTGTTCTCTTCTGGCTCTTAAATAGTATCAGGTCTTGAGTTTACATCCGTTTGTCTATCTTCAATTGAGGTTTGAGTTGTTAAACCCTCAATCGAATTCTGTAATTGCTATTTCACATCTACAACGTCATTTTGTATGCTTGAATCCACCACTGACTTGATACTTTTAAAAGCCTGCTGATCACCACGGATTTGCTTAATTTCCCATTGTGAAAGGAACTTAACGACCTGATGTAAAGTAGATGGAACAACATCCATCTCGTGAATCCAAGGTCTACCGAGGATAATATTGTACGCCATATCCATATCTATTACTTGAAATTTTGTATCATTAACTACTCCTTCTGCAAATGTGGTGAGTATTATCTCCCCTTTTGTGACAACTCTTGAATTGTCAAATCCAGATAACGTACGTGCTTTGGGTACAAATTTGTCATCAGCTTGCATCTCGTTTACCACTCTTAAAAGAATTATATTTACAGAGCTACCTGGATCAATCAAAACTCGTTTCCCATTAGTATCATGTACAAGTAAAGATATTACCAGTGCATCATTGTGTGGGATCAACACATCATTTGCATCTGCATCATCAAATGTTATACTGTCTTCTTCCAAAACTTGGCAAACTCGCTTCTCGTGGGTGACTGTGATTTTTGACACCTTCTTTACAGACGTATATGTCACGCCATTGACCTCCTCCCCTCCGCTTATGACATTAACTGTTTTATTTGGAGACAGAGGTTTTGGTGGCTCCTGTCTATTCTTCATATATACTTGCTTACCCTTCTCAGTAAACAAATCGGTTAAGTAGCCTTGTTTTAATAAGTGCTCTATTTCACCTTGTAGCAATCTGCAATCTATTTTTTTGTGACTGTGATCAGTGAACTCGCACCAGAAATCAGGGTTTCTTCTATTTGGGTTCGATCTCATTTCCTTTGGCCACCGCACCTTATCTCCCATGCTTCTTAAAACATCTACCAATTCAGATGTGCTAACATTGAAATTGTAACCACCAATCTTTGTTTTTGAACTTCTGTCGTTGTCCCGCGTGTCTCACTCTTTTCCAAAACTGGACGACAAACCCGAATTTCTATCCCTTGATCTAGAATCATACCTCGGGCTCTCTTGTTTTGAATGTGAATCCCTTCCTGCTGGTCCCATGTAAGGTTCGTACCTATTCTTATCGGACCTTTTTCATTTTTTGGTCGCCTCAAACTTACTCTTTCATCTCCCCAGGACTAAGTGATAGTATCTTCTTCTATCCGCAGTTTCGTGTTATACCTATTGTAAATATCATTCCAAGTTGTTGCAGGGAATTCTCGTAAGCTTTCTTTGAGTCTCTTCGTGGCTTCTGAGTTTTTTTCATTTAGATTACTTGCAAATGTCATAGCCACCTAATTGTTAGGTACATGTGGTAACATCATTCTTTCACACTGGAATCTATCTACGAATTTCATGAGTAGCTCTGTATCTCCTTGTTTTATTTTGAAGGTGTCATCCATCCTCTTTTCAACTTTTTGAGCTCCGGAGTGTGCTTTTATAAATTAATCTGCAAGCTCAACAAAAGAATCAATGGAATTTTCAATTAAAAGAGAATACCATGTTAGTGCTCCCTTTGTGAGTGTTTCACCGAATTGTTTTACCAGCACTAATTCAATCTCTTACTTGGTCAAGTCGTTGCCCTTCACGCCAGTTGTAAATGCAGTTACATGATCTCGTGGATCGGTTTTCCCATCATACTTCGGGATATCAGCTATCTTAAATTTTTTTGGAATAGGAAAAGGAGCGGCACTTGGCTTCTAGGGTTGTTGAGAATATATATCCATATCCACTCCTTTGATTATAGGTGGAACACCAGGTATCTATTCTATATTATCGTTCTGCTCCTTGAGTTGTTTTTGCAAAGTTAGTACTAAACTTTGTAAATCAGAATTAATTGGGATACCTGACCCTCCATCACGACATTCACTGGGAGTTCATCCGCTACCCGAATTAGTAAGTCATGAGCATAGATTCTCTATGGTTGCGGTGTTGTTTGGAGGCGGATATGGTGGTACAGTTGGTAATCCGCTAACGAAAGCTTAAAGAGCATTGTTCAAGTGTTCTGCAATTAGTTGCTTCAATGCATCATCAACATTTTGACCGTTCCCTTGTTGATTATTCATATGTAATGTTGATTTATTAGGTGAGTTGTCTCGGGAGTGTCGAGGAGAATTTTGAGGTGAAGGGATTGAGGTGGCATTCTCTTATTGATTCTATTGGTTCAGCTAGTCTTGTTGGTTTTGTAGGTTTTGTTGATTGTTGTCGTTAGCGGTCGACATGATTTTTTTGACGGAAAAATGAAATTGGAAAGTGAAAAGATTATCAGATTCTCGGTAACGGAACCAATTTGTTTAACCAAAAAATAGAAATTCCGGTCAAAGCCTATTTTTAGAAGTACTCGGGTTACTGATAATCAAGAAAATCAATATTCTTGCAATAAGAAAGGAAATTAGAATATGAAATAGCAAAGTAATCAATAGAAAGCAAAAGAAAGTAATTGTATTCCAATAATAACCAGAACGTGTATGTACAAATGATCTCTTTCTTTTTTATAGGAATATATGAGTATAACGTCTTTCCCCTTTTATGACCTAATCATTATGAGCATTAATGACATTAATGAGACGTTATAATTGGCAATCGTAATTGTTCATGAAGATTCTGTAACGTTTGAGATCATTCACGCTCACTAATAGCTGATCCACGAATCTTTCCTTTTTATTGTCTTGATTCATTCCGCCGGTACCTTTAACTATTTAAACTTGAACGATCATATCTTCTCCTCCCGTGGGTGATTTGTTCATATTTGTTACGACTCGTGCCTCTTTTAATGCATTTCTCCAGCTGTCGCTTTCTCAATGATAAACGTGTCTTGTCTTATCAGCCATTCACGTAAATCCACGTGTAATATTTATTTTTACCAATATAGAGATATGTGAACTTCTCATCAAGTTCGTACCTATTAATTAATTAACAGCAATTTGTAAGATTACTTGGAAAAGTGGTAATTAATCTGTTACAAGTTACAACACAGAAAAAAGAAACAAATTTTGGAAACTTTAAAACTTTAGTTTGTCGGCCCTAAAACCTTGTAACTCAAGAAACACGTAATCATACGTAGATACGGAAAAGGAAAACAAAGTAACTCGTACTAATACATAAGGAAAACAATATCAGAAAGTTACCAAAAAAAACAAAAACCAGGTTATCACTTACTATTAAGAGCAAGAGAACAATTGATTCAATGACGGCGATTAGCGATGCAGTAATGTGGACGAGAGGCAAAACCATCGGGAGAGGCAGTTTTGGCATCGTCACTTTAGCAACGACAACAAACTCCTCCGTTGATATTCCATCGACAATCGCAATAAAATCTGCCTTGTTTTCGCGTTCAAAGTCGTTACAGAAAGAGAGAGAACTATTACACGAGTTTCAAGATTGTGATCAGGTTATTCGATGTTTCGGAGCTGATGTTACTGAAGAAGGTGGAAAGATGTTGTACAACATGTTGCTCGAGTACGCATCTGGTGGAAGTTTAGCTGATCGGATTGGTCAAAATTCGGGGCAATGGTTGGGGGATTTTGAGGTAAAGCAGTACGCGAAATCGATTCTGTTGGGGCTTAGTGATATTCATGGAAGAGGTTTCGTTCACCTTGATATTAAACCGGATAACATTCTTCTTGTGGGTACCGAAAAAGTTGCCAAAATTGCTGATTTCGGGTTCGCGAAGAAGGTTGGAAAGAGTCAGAAAAGAAAGCGCGGACTCAAGGGCACGCGTATGTATATGGCGCCAGAATCAGTTCTTGATAACGAGTACGGACCTGAAGCTGATATTTGGGCTTTCGGGTGCACTGTTTTCGAGATGATTACAGGGAAGACAGTTTGGGATTGCAGTGAAGCTGACGATATTGTTTATCTGTTATGCAAAATTGGAATGGAATCACCGGATTTGCAGAACGAAAGATTATCAAAAGAGGCTGAAGATTTTCTGAAAAAGTGTCTTGTTAAGGAGCCGAGATCGCGATGGACTGCTGATATGTTATTGAAGCATCCGTTTCTTTTATCCGATAATGTTGTCGTTCGTGAGCAGACAAGAGAAAAGGAACTCAACCCACTTTTGTTTATAGAAATAGCAAGAGAAAGTGATCCATTGACCGATGATTTTTGCAATAGTACAAAGCTGAAACCAATGAAGCTATTGAATTGCAGATCCAACAAAAGAAGAAAGCTACTAGAAGGATGTTGATTATCAATTTTGATTAGAATTATACTAATGTAAAGAACTACGTTTGGGCTTGATCCCGATAGGAGTTTAGTTGGGGGTACGTAGGCAGCCTGTAATCAAGAAAAAGATGATCAGGTCCAGCCCCTTGTATTAAACAAAAACAATTGTGTGTTGGTTCTCTTTATAATTGAACAATCTGTACAAAGAGGTTTTTTGCCAAGTAAATTTGGCTAGCAATTGTAGTGCATTGATCTCTTTCCAAATTTTACTTTGAATGTGCTTAGGCTGACAATAGAACTCAAATGAATTTACAAGGACATTTGATCCACTGATTAGTAAGAATAAATTGAGATGGAACAAGAGATTTTTTTATTGAAACAGTAAAAATTGCTTACCTATTGATATGTACGTACATTTATGATCCTAAACTGTAGAAGTTCCCATATCCTGAATCATTCTTTCCAAAAACTTTTAAAAACACAGCATATAGCTGTAAACTGAATATTGGAAATTGCAGGTCCAACTAATTCCCTTTGGCCTTTAAATTTGGGGTTGGGG